CCAACCTTTACTGTAGGTTAGTACCTGATACAGTCAGCTGAGCAGTCACATCAGCGTCAGTGCTAGCACAGACTGAGAGAGTAAGTAGATGGGATCAGTCCCAATTAGTTTTACTGGTATGTCTTTGAAGTACTTCTACTAATCATTGGCAGAGCCAGGACAATGTTTTCAATAAGAATTAATGTCATAGTCACTGCATATGGATCTACAGTCAGAACTACATCACTATTATTTTGGATGCTAAATACAATTAATTATTTGTCAATTTATTTATTGAGCAGTGGACAGTTTAAAATAATCTATAGCTGATTTAATAATGTTAAGTGATGAGGTACACATATATGAGCACTTTGATTCATGCCATAAATACAGTAAAAGTAAATGGGTTTTCTTCTGAAATACTGAAAAGCACATGCAATTCTTCTCCATTACATAAACTTCTAAAATATGCTCACCAAAATAACATTTTTATAGCTGCCAATACTACATAAGGCAGGACATCTATCAAGAGTGAGGAGGATGTTTTACTGTGTTTTGTCTGGCCATATGTTTTGTTGATTTTCAAGGTATCTAGCCAGAGCTGCACATTCATGGTGATGATTCAAGAAATACAGCTTGCACTTGGCGTTACTTGCTCAAGCTCACAACAACTTCCAGTTATGTTGGTGTATTCCGCCTGTGCACAGAGATCACTCCTTATCACCTAACAGCAAACACTAAGAGAACCATCTAAAATTTACATACTGCTACTCTGATGCACAGACTTTTGCCAGCAGGAAAAGGTTAAATTTTCATTATCTCTCATTCTTGGGAATCTTGCTCCCTGCTGGTCAGTCCCCTCTCTCAGCATCTCTTAGCTTCCCAGTGGCACAGGTTGCATGGGCCATCAGTCTCAGGCAGGGGAACCTCTTCAGAAATTGGGTAGTGCTGTCCCAATTATAATCTTTACATTTTCTTCCCACTAGTAAAACAACATTGTGGGGAAGTTGTAGCTGTAATGCAACCAGCATGTTTTTATAGACTTCATACAAAGGAAGCCTCAAACTCTCATCCTAAATACTGAACTTAACGACTTTTACTCTGAAAGTGTGTTGTGTAAGCTTTTGCGCTCATAGAATTGTGTTATACCACTAAAATGGTAATTTAGTCCAGATTTCATCATTCTATCATGTTAACAACTCTTTTTAGGGAATAATAAAATGTTAAAGATGAAATAGTGCACAATATAATAATTTTAACATCTTTATCAATGATCTGAATGAGGGGATTGAGCGCTCCCTCAGTAAGTTTGCAGATGACACTAAGTTGGGAGGGAGTGTTGATCTGCCTGAGGGTAGGAAGGCTCTGCAGAGGGACCTGGATAGGCTGAATCCATGGGGTGAGGCCAACTGTATGAGCTTCAACAAGGCCAAGTGCTGGGTCCTGCACTTTGGTTGCAATAACCCCATGCAGCGCGACAGGCTTGGGGACGAGTGGCTGGAAAGCTGCCAGGCAGAAAAGGACCTGGGGGTGTTGGTGGACAGCAGGATGACCATGAGCCAGCAATGTGCCATTGCTGCCAAGAAGGCCAATGGCATCCTGGGGTGTATCAGAAGGGGTGTGGTGAGTAGGTTGAGAGAGGTTCTCCTTCCCCTCTACTCTGCCCTGGTGGGACCACATCTGGAATATTGTGTCCAGTTCTGGGCCTCTCAGTTCAAGAAGGACAGGGAATTGCTTGAAAGAGTCCAGCACAGAACCACAAGAATGATAGAGGGAGTGGAGCAACTCCCTTCTGAGGAGTGGCTGAGGGAGCTGGGTCTCTTTAGCTTGAAGAAGAGGAGACTGAGGGGTGACTTCATTAACGTTTATAAATTTGTAAAGGGCGAGTGTCAGGAGGAAGGAGCCAGGCTCTTCTCTGTGATGTCAAATGACAGGACAAGGGGCAAAAACTTTTTACTGTGAGGGTGACAGAGCACTGGACCAGGCTGCCCAGAGAGGTTGTGGAGTCTCCTTCTCTGGAGACATTCAAAACCTGCCTGGACGCATTCCTGTGTGACCTGGTCTAGATGATCCTGCTCTGGCAGGGGGGTTGGACTGGGTGATCTTTCGAGGTCCCTTCCAACTCCTAATATTCTGTGATTCTGTAATATGCATAGCTGTGCATAGTCATCTGTGATTAGCTGTGATCATAGAAAAAGGGATGTGGAATAGGGACTGGAAATTTTACTGCTGAAATTCAAATAAATGCAATATCCTCAAACTGGAAAATCCAGGAGCACAGTGTGAAATCCTCACCAAAGGCTTTTGATCTCTGAGAATGTGTACTACTCAGGCCTCTTCCATTCAAACTGTTTTCAAAAATACAAAAAAGTAATAAACTTTCTTTGGTAAACTGTATACTGCTTTCCAGTAGTTTCAGAAGGGGACATAGTACCTTTTTTAAAAAAAAGCATATAAAGAGAGAAAGTACAGTCAATTAATGAAATCTTTTGAGTGGCATGCATAGAGATCCTCATAGAAGATGGAGTTCAGGAAATAAAGTGCTGAAGATCTACAGAATCTTTATAAAGCTCAAGAGTAACTTTTCATGCTCTAGGAAGGAGCCCTATTGACATGCATGCACACAAAATAGGAATAGCTTTAAAAATCAGGCATTGAAAATCAATATTGTATTTAATTGGCTCTTCTCCCACCCACAACCCCCCCAAAAAAAAAACCTACAAGGAATACTGAGATCAGAATAACTGTGTTGTGATGTAACATGTATTGTATTCGATAAGAATGTGTCATTATACAGACAAGGCAAGATTACCTAAAAATTTACTGGATCTGAAGGATATTTTGGTATATCAAATCATGGCAGAGTACAGTGCTATTTGGGAACAAGAGTAAGTTCAGAGACTTAGTTGCTAATGCAGCATCTTTTCACTTAAAATTTAAAAAAGGCACAAAAGGGATGAATGGACTCATACAACTGCTTCAGGCAGCTAAACAGACTAAAAACTAAATGCAAAGAGGCTAGCTCTCTTTTTAAGAAGTCAAACCCCTTTATTTTTATAGGTGGTTATATTAAAACATCTGCTCTTCAAGACACACCTTTGTAGACAGTTCTAAGCTTCTATAACCTCAACAATTAAAGAAAAGAACCCTCAAGTTGATTCATATCTCATGGCTTTATCTTTCCCTTTAGAACCATCTTTTTTCCTCAACTGGAAATTTCAAGAATTTGCCATGAGCTAAAGAATTCATTATTCTTTAGCACAATTTAGCATGAAGTTTAAACTACTAAATTAGTGCTTAAGGAATTAACTTTGAGAGTCTCAAGTACAAAAATTAATTGAGCTAAATGCAGAGAAGACAATATTGTGCCCTGCGGGTATATTTAATGCAGATGCAAGTATTAACAGTGATTAGTTATACAATTAAGTCTGATCACCACTGTAATCTGCATCACAATCAAGATAGTAACACACATAGCAGCAGCTGAAATCAAAAGGAAAGAAATCCTGTATCAGAAGGTTTCCAATGTATTTTTCGAGAAACCTTCCCTTGAAGATCCTTGCAGAAGCCCCTGATAGACATGCTAAATCAATGCAACAAAACAACAAAAGGGTCAAGTGGCATGGAAAAAAACCTCAAGCCTGTAAATTAATTATTGATACTAATAGGTTACTCTTCAGAGAATTTTCACCACAACTGCGAGTGTTTTTCTAATGGAAATGCAACTTATTAAAAAGAAAAAGGGTAGGCAACCAACTGAAAGAAAACATTTATTGAATCAAAGTCAATACTTCCCTTTTAATATCTGCAAGCCAACACTGAACTGACTTTATTCAAGAATGAACACAATGTACAAAAAAAGTATGTCTGTTATAAAAATATGTCAATCTTTTTTTCCTGACTATTGAGCGAAAAACATTTTGACAAGTGCAAGATAGACTTGGCAAGCAAATTTAAGCCGCTATTACTAACTTGAACTAAAGTTCAAATAATTTTTTGATCATAGTATATTTAAGACTCATCGATACAGTGGCACTGGAAATGTTGACCCCTAAAAAAAATATATCAATGCACTGCCATTTGTTTAAGCACCCAGACAATTTAACATCTTGATCTTCTGTTACAACGAATCAGTACCTTTATCAGTGAAGACTATGAAGCCTAATTTGAACTACTCAACCACATAACTGACACCTACCACTGCTATACAACCTAGCGAAGGCAAACTGCCTCCATGGCCGTGTATATTGTGTGTTGTCTGCAAACTGAGGGAGAAAAGTAGGTCGATTCATACAAGTTTAAATCAACCTGACAACATTGCAATGTGAAATCAGGGAAAGGATGGAAAAGAATAAAGAATCATTTTTTACAGCAATCTACATTTATGAACACATGCCTGTTTACATATTAAAGTGGATCTTACTAGGCCCAGTTATGCCTTATTTGTTTGGATGCTTTTTTCACGTAAAAACTTATCTCAACCAGGACTCAAATCATTGACTTCTCTCAATCCATCATCAAGAAGGGGAAAAAGGGACCCTTTACAGAGAGAATCTGAAAACAGTGCAATATTAAAATACAATTTCACAACGTGTGAAAGAAACATGCTTTGGAACCTGAGCAAAAGCGTTTTACTGACTTGGTAAGAAGTCACCCTGTGTGTTGTTTTCATTGGCATCTGTTCTGCCAGATTAGTATGTTGCTCTTAGCAACTTCCATGGCCCCTAACTATTTAGTGCACAGAAACTGCCAACTACTTAGGCCTACTAAACTTTTCAGCTAATATTGCAGGCAGTTTGACATGCTGCTACTGGAAATGACCATACAGCCTAAAATGAAGAAAAACTGTAGAAAGAAAAAGAAGCAGCCATCATGATATTTTTCTTTTTTAAATACACTAAAGCGCTTCCACAACACTTAGATACGGTACTACACTGGTTTACAGTCTCAAGATCAGCTCTTTCAATATACTTTATATACAATATAAATATACTGAACATTTACAACAGATGCCTCATGAATGCAAGTCTCTTTATTATTTCAAGACCAGTTGGATAAAAATTAAAATAAAGACAAAACTCTGAAGCAGCTAAGTTACAAGTCCTTTTTCAGAAGCAGGCATGACTTGGTGCCACTGCAAATTTTTTCACCACTCTGCAGTAAGCAATATATTTTCTCTTCTAGCACCAAGCGGGCCACCATACAAAACAACCTCACAAAGCATGCGGTCATTTAGTCTGCTGATTTTGTATAAAATAATCACTTGTGCTTGCAGGTCCCAGACCTTTCAAAAATGGGTATGAACAATTGATGATTGAAGACATTAATGGAAACTCACTCATTTCTAAATTACTTCAGTGGAGAAAACAATTTAAAACTAAAAAGTAACAGAACATTGCGCATTAGTATTTGTGAGGGGTGAGGGAAGCTAAGGTTGGTGCTTTAATTTGCCTTAAAACAAACAAAAAGCTACAAACAATCCTAAACAGCTTTATGTCCATGATACTAGTAGAGGCCAGTGTGCACATGTCACTGAAAGGCACGGTCGGACCAATCTGACAAATGGCATCATCAGAGCAGGACAGCAACTTTTCATGGGAGTAATCACAAAGAGTGAACAATAAGCCACCACTTCTCTCGTCATCAGCACAGAAAGCAGTCACCAAGGCAAAAGAGGGCACAGGAAAGAAGGTACAGGAACTCACATAAATCTGGAAGGCAGAAAACACACATTAAACTGAGTTTTGAACATTCTGAGTGACTGTTTTTCTACTGTAACACTGATTTAACACCATACATATTATTATGCTTAAATAGTTGGAACTGTTGCAAAAACAGTACCCTAAAAATATAATGAAATTCTTCTGAAATTTGTTATACAGCAAATATAAAGAATTGCCTACAAAATAACCTTAGGTATAAAACAGGCTTATGGACAGACTGATGCAGTCAGGACAGTCTGTTGTTCCTTTTGTAAAAGAATTAACATGCTTACATGATATTGAGTTTTTTTACTCAGAAATGCATTTTAAAATTGGGCATCACAGAGACACAGTTATTTATAGGGAGCTAATTATGAAGCAGTATGATTGTTCTTCCTACTTAAAAACAGAGCACGATACTTACTAGAAAGGTTATCCCCAAAGTTATCCTGCCTTTGTGTCTACGAGCTGCATTTGGATGTTTGCAGACATGCCACCTGCATAACCTCCCTTGGACTGCATTTGGTTCTGAATTGAGCTGACCTGGAGGCAGAAGGAAAAGAGGGGCAGAGAAAACAAGAAAGGTAATTAGTGAGCTATGGCACCTTCTTGCTTCCAATTTTATTTCTTCCTTAGGTTTGGTTTTCAAGTGCTCCTGTACCATTACATTACTTTTGCGTGAGGACTTGTGCAGTGGAGGCTTGCTGGAATTTTTGCTTCTGCAGGCAGCTCAGCAGGTGAGATGGGAGAACTGGTGTCGAGGCAAAAGTTTTTCTGTCTCCAAAAGAAAACTGGCTGATTCAGGCTTTCACTGACCCGCTTGATTACTCAAAAAAAAATAAAAATTAATTGAATCTCTTACTGGTACTCAACTCCACTCCATCTGACAAGCTGTAATTTATCTTGTTATATAATGTTCTTTGCCAAGTATGATAAACCAGAGATGTGGACACCATTACATGAAAAATGTAATGGACCATTTACAAGATATCTGGATACTATCTGCACTGTATGGCTAACTTCAGATAATTAAAAAAGGACTTCTGAAACCAAAAAGAAACTTTTGGCATGTAGAAGGATTTCTATTTATCTATTTCTGTAACAGCATACACTGCTTTCCTTAATTGCTACTATTTCTTTAAATGGCAGGGCATTTGTTGTCTAAATTATAGTCAATCTATCAACTTCACTGGAGACAGCTTATTTGAGGGTAGTTTTAGCCTGATACAAATAAATAAAGACATGCACATCCCTCTAAGGCTTTCACTGCCTTTATCAGTAAAAAAAGGAAGAGAATGCATAGTTCTTTCCTACTTGTGTTGCATGAGACAAAGTAATAATCTCCAAGTGCCTGCAGGAAGACAACTCCAGCCTTAAAGGTTTGGCCTTTTTCTCACTGCACCGCAGAGAATGCATAACAAGTACACAGTGAGTGCATAACAACATATTCAATCAGGGCTACAGCTTCCGAAATTGAACTTGCAGCAAAGCCTATGCCTGCACGGCACCACTTGCAATTACTAGATGTATGCTCCTTCACAGAGACCTCAGAACATCACTAGAAAGCTGCATTAACACAGCACTGGAGAATTACCTCCAAGTAGCTTGAATGACATCTTCCCTGTCTCCAAAGATGAAATAAGTATATTCTTTTCCACAGCAAAGCAAAATACATGCAATACACACAAAGTGAGTCAGCACAATGCTTTCTTACACACTGTTTCTCAAACCAATATGAAAAAAGAGCCTGTTTTAGGATCTTTGCCTTCAACAGTAGGGCACGTTGCACTGCTGTGCAGAAGGATCTGATTGTGTGTTTAAGAACTTTCACATTTCACCAAGCTTCTTCTATTACTCATTGTAACGAAAGGAGTTTGAATTTAATCTTTTTTTTTTTCTCAGAAAATAATTCATCTACATGTAAATGTATACACAAGAATGACTTGAGGATAGCATTAATTTCATCTGAATGAATCCTTCCTCTAGTGAAAAAGAGCTAGAAAAACATCTCCAGGCCATGTCACATTCTAGCCTAACAACTTACCTACATGACTTTAAAATTTTGGAGAACAGCAAATCAAGACAAATTGCAAGACTAAAGTGTAATTTTATAATGAGCACTTCTTCTGAAGGTTAAAGTAATTTCTCTGGTACTTGAGTCACATGTATAGATGTTTGTGTTAGTGTGTAAGGAAGTATCAGTCTAAAATATAGAGACACACCTAAAGCAAATAAAATGCAGCAAATTAAACTTGACTGCATTAACAGTTCAGTGGCTGTTTTGTGAATGAAAACTTAAACAGGAGACATAGTATTAAAAGCATTGAAAAACAAGTAGTACTTCTTCTGAACCATGCTCTTTTTGAGGCAGTCTGAGCTACAAGAACAAGCACCATTTAATGCATTTTTTTTTCTTGTCAAAAGATGCCATTTCCTTCCTTTGATGACATGTAACAGCAAAGGTTCTTCTCTCTTATGTTTAGTTTAGTTATGATAAAGATTTGGAAGAGGAAGAGGATTGCACCAATCATAGATGATACAGTCTGTTGTGCTGCCTGTCTCATTAATGTCCTCTTTTCCTTTTCTTTCCCTCTCTTTTAGAATTAGGAAATAGCACATGGTCCTTGAGAAAGAAAACAAGAGAAAAACTAAGAAAAGGATGGAAAAGACTAAACTGAGGAATATGTAGCAGAAGAAGAAAGTGAGAGATTTCACAATGGAATATGAAGGAAAAATGAGAAAAAGTGATGGGAGTGAGAAGGCAAACAGTACATAGAGGGCTCCTGGTGTTTAAGTGTACTTCTGACAAAGGAGCAAGACGCTCTACAGAGATGGCAAACAAGAAAGCAAAATATTTCAGTAGTCAGAAAACTACAGTACTGGGAATCATAAGGCTATGTAATGAAGAACAATGCAGATGAAAAAAGACACAGAGCAGATAGTGGAGGAAGAACCAAATTCATATGGGAAAAGCTAATGAAATTGCAGGAGGTCTTCCTGAGGTATTCAGAAGAGAGAAGGCACAAGAGGTTCATGAAGCAGTATAATGTCCATACTATAAAGGAAATTAAGCAGCAGAAAAACATGTGGAGGTTAACACCATAACCTTGGAATTTACACTGCGAAGAATGAACAAGGAAACGAGATGCAGAATTACCACAGGAAGTCACCTCAGAAGAGCCAGGAAAATAAGCAGCTTGAAAATGAGTTTTATGCTTCTGAAGAGAGAGAGAAAAAAAAGGATTATTTTTTGCATGCAGATCCTCTCTTTCTGGGATCAGAAAAATCACTCTGGCCACTGATGCAGCACATTATCCAAATGAAAAAGTGAGAGAAAGAGACAGCCAGTTATGAGCATTCAAAATGAAAAAGTCTATGTAGAGAGACAATAATAATCACCTACTATCTGGAGATGAATTGGGTATTATGCAAGGCAGGGGAAAGTCTGAGATGAAGGAGCAGAGCCTCAGTCAGTCACCACAGACCTCCTGTGAGGCATCTCAGCTGTGAGAATGAAGACGGTTCTCACAGGAGGGACGTTTAAAATGCCAAAAGCCATGCTTTAAAAAAAAAATAAAGAAAATGGCTCACTTTATTATTTCAATTTATAATGGCTTTTAATATTAATGTAATACATTGCATTGAATAAGTAATTAGATTTAACTGAATTTTATCAAGTTGAAGTTGTCTTAGTCCCTTTAATTTGCTTAGAGATGTTTTAGTACAAATCATTTCCCATCCTTTATGTTGTCTCTGGGAAAGTGTAATATATTGTTAGTCATGTCAGATTTTCTAGCTTTGCCCTTCCCCAATACATACTGAGTTACAAAAGTTTTTGTCTGATCTCAACAAGCTGTAAACTGGTTGAAACTACAAATGACCACCACACTTGCCTACATTAAAATATCTTTCCTTTACAGCTCTGCTCTCTATTCTGATACCTCTGACAGAACTCATTCTTCTCCTTTGCAAACAAGTCTTTTTCGTCATTTTCACCACAAACAATTTTTTCCTCTAAAGAGGATTATTAAGATGAAGAACTATTTTTCATTATCTATATATGACCGTTTTCTAGATTGCATGTTATTGATCTTATAAACAGATCAACGTTTCACATAAATATGAAGCTGTACAAAAGAAATCTATCCTTATAAGATGATTTTCATTATCTATCTTAGTTTCTGTTTTTCACTTTCAGAGACATAAAAATATTTATTGCGCCTATCATCTACAGGAAACCACAAAACCTTGCCTGTGACATCACTGCTTGCTCTGGAAACCATTCACACTGCAAATAGGGCTGAAAAACCTCAACAAGGACATGCAAAAATATTTGTATGCACCATAAACCAAGCTAAATTAGAGTTTTACATGATCTATATTTAAAATAGACTAAAGCACTTAAGGTAAAAAATGTAGTCAATTGTAAAAAACTTTAAAAAGTTCTCTCTAAAAATACTCTTCTATGTTTTCAAAACACCTGTATTTTAATTCTTACATGCCATCAGAATAAATTTCTAAAAAGTATACTACATATAGCCTGTAAAATTTATACAGCATCTACTATGTATTGTCAATATACACAGAAGTCTAAAAAATGGCATTCCATAATCTTGAAAAAAAAAAATACATTTAGGGCCTGGAATTAAGACTAGCAGGTTGTTCTTCAGTTTTATAGAGAGTCTTTCTTAGAGTTGAAAGACTCATTGCTTCAGCCACAATATACATATACAGATTTCCTGTATTCTGTCTAAGATAAAATATTCTTCTTCATCCTCTCATGCTTACCGAATTCATTCCACTGAATAGATCTCCTGATCCTACGTGAGCTGTGTGAACAAAGTTTGTTGGCTCCCCAATCATGCTTCGGTCAATCCGCCGTCGTCTTTTCTGAAAGGAAGGTAAAGAAACCATCTAACTCGGAGTCATTGCAAAGACAAACCAACATGTGTCATAAATTTAAAAGTTAACTGTCCATACGCTATTTTATACACTGTAAGATGTTTTCATAGAGTCAGAGTCCAAATTCCCAGGTTAACCAGGAGATGGATAATACTGACCTTTGTTTTAACTTGGAGGATCTATACCAGATCATTAGAGCAGCATTGATACCACTCCTAACATTTAGGCCAACAAAACACTTTCAAGTGACCTTACTATATTCCATGATTTATTAAGCAATATTTGCAAAATTTCACAGAGTAACTTCTGCCTATATTTGTAATAAAATCATGATGCTACAGATCAGATTTGAGGTTCAGTCATTCAAAACAAGAATTAAAGGTCAAAGAGCATTAGTATAGACTATGGAACTGCTAACTTACAGAATTTCTGATCTGCATGCCATCGGAATAACTTCCACTCTGTGTGGCTGTAGGGAGCGAGCTGAAGGGGTGCCATGTGGCAGTAAGGCAGGATGCCAGATTAGGGACTCAGATTTCTGTTTCATGAGACACAAGGCAAGAACTGCTTAACCTCTGCCTCCTCTTTCTCAGAGTCACAGCTTCATTTTTTATCAGTGTAATAACACGCAAATGAAAAACTGGAGGCAGTAAGGACTTCCTCTAATTAAAGCTGCTTTGGTTGCCTCCCTCCAGCTAAGCATTGCATCTAAAGGAATAAAACAAGAAAACCACATTCTTGTTTCTTAGGCAAGAGCTAGGGAGCTTATAGAGAGCAAACCATGTCAAGTGCAGTCACTGTATGCCCATATTCCTTACTTAAGAAAAACACATTAGCTATGAAGCACAGCATAAATATCTCAATTTAAGGTGTGTCAGAGAAGACAGCATAATAGCTAGGAAAATCCTTGAGTTCAATTTCCACCATTTTAAACTCCACAAAGTCTTATTTTAAAAGACATCTGTTTCTAATCTGCAATAAGACTGTAAGACCACCTGGACTCAAGACACGAAGGTACATGCCTCCTGAGTCAGGTAGCTGCTACTGAAACACAGCTACAGATTAAATCATTAGGAGCCGAAGACCACAAGTATTACAATACATCAAGGGGTTTAGCCAGCATGTATTTAATCCTATCCTGTACCTTTCCTTATTAATAAAACCAGATTTCAGTAGGTTTCAGTACTTTACTGTATCATATTAATAGGTGGGGTGAGGAGAAACACAGAAAACGCTCCCATAGAAATAGCAAAACATTACCTGATCTATGCCAAAATTATTCTCTGCACCCAACACATTTCATAAGATCAACCAAATAAAATATTCATAGCTATAAAAATATCTTCATGTAGGTTTGAAGGCTTTCACAGAGAAAATATTTATGGAAATTAACCCAGATATCTCAATTACAGAAAACAATAGAGTTCATAGAGCCATAAATAGCCACACCAGAATCTACTGTCATATCCCATCAATGCAGTAATATTTCAATTTGGAAGTAAAGCTCACTTATACACACAGCAAACAATTTCTTAAGTTATGCATGATATCAGGTAGTAAAGCATATGTGAGTAACCTGGGGGGAGAAACCCCACACCAGGTTTATGCTTCCACTGGATAGGAATTGCTCATCTGATGCGTTCAGGACGAGGAGCATCTCCACCAGGCGTGATGATTATTTTAAATGCACGTTGCTGTATTTACACAATATAGTATGGTAACATGCTGTGACTCTGACACAGAAAGAAGTTTTAGCGAGCTGTACGAAACACACCACTCCAATGAAAACACTTAAAATTGTTTCAGGTCTGCAGTAGTTACCTCTCTTTCCC